AAGGGGAGCTTGGAGGTGCATGGAAGGAGGGCTGTGGTTTGTCACTCCCCCTCTTCGTGGAGGAACGACACAGGACCCTGCGCTGTTCTTTTGTCTGCTCGGCCCTCCCCGGGTTTGCTGCTGGTTCTTCCCGGGTTGGCTACCGTCCCTTCCACCTCCGTGGAAGGGCGGTTCCCCCTGCCACTTTCCCCACTTCCGCGGGGGAGCGGCACACCGCCGGCCGGCTCTCTCGGGGGCTGCACAGGTGTTCCTCTTAGATGTTCCCCTTAGATATTCCTGGTGCATGTTGTCTCTCTCCTCCTTTATAGTCCTCTTCCACCAATCCCAACTCTGCTACCCACACGCCGAGTATGCTGCTCTCCTCCAATCAGGAGCAGGTCCTACAGTTTATTGGTTGAACTGGAGGCAGCTGTGTAGAAGCTGTTTCCTCTTCTCCCAGCGCCATATTGTGGGAGAGCAGATGCATAGAATAAGTCTTAATTCGAGTAACAGTCTAGGTCCGAGTTGCTCCCCACAGTGGTTCAGAATTTAGGCTTCCCCCTGCGATGCTGGCAACCCCCATCCAAGCATCACTTAGAGTTCTGGCTGCTCTGCTCTGCTGGGAAGGCAGCTGGTAATGGTCCATGTGATTGGGCCACTGCCACCTATGTGGACAGCTGGATGGAATTCCTTATTCCTGGTTTATTGTGGCCACTGGGCAATGAATCACTGGATGAGAGATTTCTCTCAATCTCAATCTCTCTCTTTCTCTCTCTCTCCAACTCTGCCTTTGAAATAAGTTTGAAAAAGAAAGGGAAGTTCAGGTGGTGCCCAGATAGAGATTAGATGGTGTACAGAAAGTGTTTGGGTGGTGCAGATCCGGCTGTGACACAGGCTGCTTTGGGCTTTGTGCTGGTGAGGAATGTAGCTGCTGCACAGGCTGCCTGAAGCTGCGATGTGGTGGGATGTTCTCAAGTTTTAAATTTGGAAACTTGCCATGTTTTCCTCATTCTCATTTTTTCTTATTTGTTTATTTATCTTTGATTTCTGTGATTTATTTACATTTAAAAAAGCAAAATGTTTTTGAGATTTACAGTTGTATACATTTTGGTGTATTAGATGTTTCATTACATGTATTACAATAATGTTAAATGAAATTCAAAATTTTGAAAAGGACTTATGTATTCATTTGATAGGAAGTTACATAGAGAGGAAGGAACAGAGTTGGAGAGGGAGAGAGAGAGAAAGGTCTGCCATCTACAGGTTCACTCTGCAAATGACTGCAATGTGGTCCAGGTCTGGGCAAGGCTGAAGCCAGGAGCCTGGACCTCCATCAAGGTCTCTCCCTTGGGGATCAGGGACCCAAATACTTGGGCCATCTTTCACAGCTATCCCAGGTGCATTAGCAGGGACCTGGATCAGACATGAAGCAACTGAGATAAAATCGAACTCACATGAAGGTGGCACTGAAATTAAAATTCTTTAGGAAAGTCTTCCCTGCCTGGCCGGGTTTATTGTTCTGTCTTACCTTTGTAATACCATTCATGTACAATAGCCTCTCTTTGTCTTGAAATTGCCAAACTGTTTTCAGTGTTTGAGTTCTCCAGATGTAAATGTCCTTCAAGTAGTCTCTTCTTATTTTTGTATTTCTATTACCTGTCAGCTTTTGAATAAGGCCATTTCCATTTTATACAGAGTCAATTATTCCCCTTTATTTTCTCTCATTACTTTATTTGTCACCATAATCGAATTGGTCCCTAGTTATAATTGCCTAAATTAAGCTGCTCCCATTATAATGTTTGACTCCCTTACAAGGCATAAGGTCACTGAAGGCAAAATTCCATCCTAATTTTTTCTCTGTTTTGTTAACTGAATATCTCTAGCTTGTGCTTTAGAATCCGGAATCATGTAGGCACTTGGAAAAGTTCTTAAGAATATGAATGAATGAATCGATTTTCAGTTATTACAGCCATATCAGTAATAAGACAAGTAAGGTAGCGCACGTAAGTGATAGATATCCTTGTTGGAACAAAATGACTGATATTTTATTCTCCACCAGAAACAGCTTTAACAATGGTTCTGAAGCACACTTTGCCTCCTTGTTGAACCTCCCTGACCCTGGTCATGTGATTGGTCTAATGACATCTTTACAATTTTTGTGGGAAATCCCAGTGAATTTAATTAAGCATGAATCTTGGACAAGCTCCAGATGCAGGTCTCAGGGCTATGTGAGGTTAGGAGATATACGTTGTCCAGTGATTTTGGCCCCTGCTGGGGAGCATGCTGTACTCTTAAGATGCAATACAACTGTCTACAGATGAGCAATTACTTATTGCATGAATGCGTTCTCAAAATACCGCAGAAAAGTTTGGCTATCATAACAGAATTGAAAGAGATTGGAAAAATATCTGAATGATAATTTTTCTTTTTGAATTTAGATGAAAATAAGTCAACAGTAGAGGAAACATCTCCTGGTAACATGACCGGTTGCTATTTTCTTATGCAGACTGTTAACCAAGATCTATGAATAATCGGTTCAATCCACTTTGAATATGTAAATTACCTCCAAAGATTTCTCAATGTTATAATTTAGTTTGCTATTATTTGTTTGTTTACTTTGTTCAGGAATTTACTGAATGTGGAATTTTTAATTTTTTTTTGTGTGTGATCTGATGCCTTTTAGTAATTCTCCAATGGAAATCATAATTTACCCAAATATTTAGAAGACTGTAAAAAATGGGCATAGTCACAAGAAATCAAATATGTTCCAAGGAATAAAGTCTCTCTCCCTCTTTCTCTAGTAAAAAATATGGAAGACACATTTCTTTGTCCTAAGGCGTCAGTTACAAAGCTCTCCATCAGGCTCTGAGGAAGCCTCCAAAAGGTGAGAAAGTGGCAGTTAATAGAAGAATTTAGAGATTTTCATGTGTGTTTTTTCCTGGTATGTAGGAAATTATACTGTTTGACTTTGCAAGAGTGGAAATGTTGAAAAACTTCTGATTTCCAAGATCTTTGAAGGTCAAGGACGTTTAGTTTCTTATTCCACTTCTGTCACTGAAAAGTATATGAGTGTGGGAAAATTTACTGAATTTCCTGAGCCTGTTTCTTCACATGTAAAGGGGGAACAACTATCATATATTAGCACAAGTATCAATATTTATGCTTTATGTGATGATATTTGTGTGTCTATGAATATAAACCTATTTGTATGAAACATACATGTGAGAATCACATAGCATCTTGCAGAGTTTTGCAAAACTAATGCTAGGTGTGCTGGCAATGTTAGCATTTCCACTCATTAAATTATGTTTTATCTATTTTAATGGAACTGATAAGGTGAAAATGTTTTGTTCTCTAGTGATTTTGCATTTCAGAGGGATATAAACTTGTGATATATATGCCAGTTTGCACAAATGGAATTTTAATGTTTTCTCCATAGCATTCAAGTACTGTACTACACACTTTCCTATGTTTCATCACATTAGACCCTCACAAAAAATGTTTAGAATAATTTCATTTACAAATCTGCAAAGTATAGTTCAGAGTAAGGACTTGCCATACTTTGAATAAAGTAAACCATTTCTGCTTGTATAGAACATATATTTTATTTAGGGATCATTACTCAAAGCTATATACATCTATTTGTTAATACAGTAGAGTCAGGTGAAAAAGTGATTCCTTAGTCAGCAAAACTTTTTTCTTCTGATGATGTGACGCCTGGATTTTAGATCCTGAGCCTAAATAATCTATGATACCTCAAAGTCTACTTTACTTCTAAGGCATATCACAACTGTGTGTTATATAAGGTTTTTTTTTTTTTTGACTGAATGAATAAAAAAAATTTAGACTTACAATACTTATTTGTGTAATATTTATTATTATTTTAATGTTAAATTGCTTCTGATTTCTGATATTACTATTTATTAAAATGAAACCAAGGCTATGGAAAAGCATAATGATATTTGAAGAACAGCAAACACAGTCTTGAATAGGATGGATTTGAAATCTTGTAAGAGATGAATTTGGGAAGATAGCCTTGATCCCAATCATCAAGGGTCCTGTAGGCAATAGAGAAATACCGTATTTTATTGAACTTAGGATAGGAAGCCACTGTAGGGGTTTTGAACAGACGGTGATATGATCTCAAAAAGATGTAAAAGGGATAATTTGGGCTGCTTCATGTACGTAGTTTATGGAACTCTGGAATATAAGTACAGAAAACCTGCAAGAGGCTATGAGAGTTGACTGGTGGAAACTGGGAGGTTGTAGAAGATAAAATTTGGGGTGTTTTGATTGTAGAGTTAACAGTGTTTTAAATATGTGTTGATCCATAATCAGAGGATTAGAGGTATGAAAGATATTGTATGATTTTTTAGTATGAATAGTAATGTGGCAAGTGATATAATTTATTAACTTAGGAAACATTTAGAAAGGAATTTTTAAATGGTTTTAGAAATACTAAATTTTAAAATGGTTTTAGAAATACTAAATTGACATTCAATTTGAGATGTTGATCTGTTAACAAAGGTCTATGAATAATTCTATCCATTTTGAATATGTAAATTACCTGCAAATTTTTCTCAAGTGTTATAATACAGTGAATTGATACAGGATGTATCTCTTGTGGAATTCCCTTCCTATCATTTTTTCTAATTAAGTCTAAATTTTCCTCATAAATCAGATAAGGTACACTTCCTCCGAGAAGCCTTCCAAGTCTCCAGATTGACTCAGATGTTTTAGCCTTGTGATTCTTTACAATAACTGACTAAATTTAACACAATTATTAAACTATCTTGTCGTAGTCTGAATCAATCCTTATGTACCAAATCCCTAAGAGTAGGGTACCCTGTTTCATCTGGTTTGATAACTCTCATGTTTGTAATAGACTCAACACAAATAGACATTCATATTTTTGAATGAATGAATAAATATTAAGCTTTTTATGTACCTAAAAGATTTCCTCCTTCTTTTTTAGAGAAACTGTTTCTAATATCTGAAATCATCACCTGTGGAGAGAAGACATGGAATCAAGGAATAATGTGACTTACTTTGTGCTCTTGGGCCTTACACAGAATGTAGAGAAACAGAAAATACTTTTTGTTTTGTTCTTGATCGTCTACATTCTGACTGTGGTGGGGAACTTGCTCATTGTCGTGACTGTCTCTGTCAGTAAGACCCTGGGCTCACCAATGTACTTCTTTCTTGCCTGTTTTTCCTTTATGGATGTCTTTTACTCCTCAGCCATTACTCCTAAATTGATTTCAGACTTGTTCTTTGGGAAACACACCATAAGCTTCCAATGTTGTATGATCCAGCTCTTTATGGAGCACTTTATGAGTGGATCAGGGGTCTTTATTCTGTTGGCGATGGCCTATGACCGCTATGTGGCCATCTGTAAGCCCTTGCACTATTTGGTTATCATGAGGCAATGGGTGTGTGTTGTGCTGCTAGTAGTGTCCTGGGTTGGAGGGTTTCTGCATTCAGTCATTCAACTCAGCACTATTTATGGGCTCCCATTCTGTGGTCCCAACATCATTGATCATTACATGTGTGACATGTACCCCTTATTGAAACTTGTCTGTACTGACACCTATGTCACTGGTCTCTTAGTGGCAGCCAATGGAGGCGTGATCTGTGCTGTTGTGTTCCTGCTCTTACTCATCTCTTACGGTGTCATCTGGAACTCTTTAAAGAACCATAGTCAGGAAGGGAGACGGAAAGCTCTCCAGACCTGTGGTTCTCACATCACTGTGGTTGTTTTCTTCTTTGTTCCCTGCGTTTTTATTTATGCAAGACCTGCAAAGACCCTTCCCATTGACAAATCAGTGAGTGTGTTTTATACAGTCATAACCCCCATGCTGAACCCCATAATCTATACTCTGAGAAACACAGAAATGATAAATGCCATTAAGAAGCTCTGGAAACGTCATAAAATGTAGTAATGATAAAATCACTTGATTTTAGACTCTGTCTCTTTGGGAATTGGAGATTTTCTTAATTCTAATGCAATTTATCTTTTGGCACAGTATTAGCTTTTATGACAATTATTATTAAATAATAAAACATATGATTGCACAAATAATAGTTGTCTTTTTTGTTGGAAAGTTTTCTCTATAACCTTTTATTTTTTTTTACTTCATTTACAAAGGTGTAATTCAAATATAGTAATGAATCAATTATAGTGATTAGTTGCTGAAGAAATTATATTGTAACACTGATTTTTCAGTTGATTTATTTATTTAACTCAGTTTCTTTCTGAGAGTTTTATTTATAGTTAGCTCTAATCATTTAAGTTCATTTTTCATATAATTTAGGAGTATTTATTTCTATATAGACTGCCCTCTTTATTCAACTTAACAGATTTTGTATACACAAGTGTAATACTTCTAGATTTTTGAAATTTGAATTTTTAGTTGATTATAGCTATAGTAAAAATAGAAACCATCCAGAATGTAATAAAATAATTATATTTGTTTCATCTGGTTAAGTCACTGGCTAAGATACCCTGTCTCACATAAGAATCCCTGAATTTGTTTTCTTGCTCCCATTCCTGATTTCAGCTTCCTACTAATGCAAACTCTTTGGGCAGCAGTGATGGCTAAATTAGTGGGATTCATGCCACATGGGAGATCCAGAAAGGGTTCTTGGCCTTGGCTGGAGCCTTTGCAAGTATTTGGGGAGAGAACCAATAGATAGGAGCACACTCTGTCTCCACAACACTGCCTCTGAAATCGATCAAAAAGAATTGGAAATGCAAAATGAACTCCTTATCCATCTGCAGACATAGTCACTCAGTATCTTCCCTAAGATACACTATAATCTATTCTTGAAGTTTCGTCAGGTAATACTCTTTGCAAATAAATATAAATATTGATATTTAAATGTATCTTTCTGTGCTTTTCTTGTCTGTTCAAGTTTTCATTTTCTAAGCAATTTAGTAAAATTTTTTATAAACAGTAATTATAGTGGGCAGACCAGTGGCATAGAAGATGAAGCCACTGTTTGCGACACTGGCATCCCATGTTGGAGTACAAGTTTGAGTCCCTGATGCTCCACTTCTGATCTAGCTTCCTGTTATTGTGCCTGGGAAGGCAGCAAAAAATGGCTTGAGTACCTAAGCCACTGCTACCCATGTGGGAGAACAGGATGCAGTTCGTGGCTCTTGACTTAACTCTGGCCAAGCCCTGGCTATTGTGGCTTTTTTGGGAAGTGATTCAGCAGATGGAAGATTTCTTTTTCTCTCTCTCTCCCTCTCTTGTTGTTATCATGCCTTCCAAAAGTAAATAAATAAATAAATAAAATTATACATACTTAGAGAGAACAGTGTGATGTTTATTTGTTTTGTACTCCTAGGAGCATTTTTTAAATTTTATTTAACAATTTTTAACATTTTGCCACATTCATTTCATATGTAGATATTATACATAAACATATACACTATTGTTTGTTGAGAACATGGATATTAATGTCATATAATCATGAAGATCTTTCCATACCAGTCAAATTTTTCCTCAGGTTTGTAAATATCCCCTCATAAAAATGTACTAAAATGAATGTGCCCAATATTCTTCATGTTATTTCCAATTATTTTACGGAAAATAATTTTGCAATAAACATTTATTTTTAAAATATAAGCACGTATCAGTTCCTGGAATTGGTAATATACATATGTATTTGAATTAACGGTCAAAGCTATATATATTTAAAATGCTGATGTTCATAGTTATTGCCAGAATGAAATCATTGAGGTTGTACTGATTATAAACTCTTCTATGGTCTGTGAGAATGTCTCTGTCAAATTCATGTTTATGATAATGAAAGTCTGAATTGTTATTTATTTAATTCTATAATTGAAATCCTTTAGCTATAATTGTGTTAGAGCATTTTAATATCATTTGTATTAAATACCATGTGTAATACTTTACAAATTGCTTGTTAATATTTTTATCCATTCCATTCAAAATATAATTTCCATACTTTTTTATGAGTTAATATAAACTAAAGAAACTGATCTTTAGTTTTATATATGTAATTTTTTCCACTTTGTGATATGTTGTCAACTTTGTTACATTATTCAGTATTTTAAAAATAAATCTTATTGTTCATATTTAAATAAATCCGACATGTTGTTATGGGATAAAGATAAAATATTTATTCTAATGAAGCAAGTTAACATACCCAGTTTTCCTTCTTGTTGTGGTAGAGGCTGAACTCTACTCATTTAGCAGAAATCCAAAGTAAAGTACAATTGCATAAAGAATAATCCTCATGCTGTACATTATTAGTTCTTTAGACTTACTCTTCCTACATATCTGTACATTGTAACCTCTGACCCACTTCTCCACACTTTCTAGCCTTTCACCTCTTTCTGACATTGACAATCATTGTTTTCATCTCTATTCCCTATATATATTGGACTATTTTTCTTAAGATGCTGTATATAAGTGACGTCATGCAATATGTTTAATTCTGTGTCTGGCCTATCTTCACTTAATGTAATGTCCCCCAGTTTCCTTCATATTGATGCAAATGACAAGATCTCTTTTTTAATGGTGAATAATGTATCATTGCACATTCAAGTGTAAGGGGGCCTCAATAATTCATGATACTGTGTATTATGAAAACACTAGGCTTGAGTTTCATTTATTGTCACAAAAATAAAAAAGTCCATTTCCATGAACTGTTGAAGTACCTTTGTATATCTGTTGCTAGCATGTAAAATTCTTCATATTCATGTAGCCATGTTCATTAATATTTTCTCTAGCTTTTGAAATCTTATTTCAAAAGATAACCATAGTTTCATTCTTACCCAAATAAGCATTCAATTTTTTAGCATTTTTGGTGGTTTTATATTTTTAACTCATATGTAATTTTATTTTAATATAGTAGTTAGTTCATAGGGACTTTTAGTTGTTTTTCTAAATTTCAGGTTTTTTTTTCAGTTTTATGGTTACATTCACACGATTGATTTGAATTCTCAACTTAATTATATTTTAAATTCCCATATGTATTTGGATCAAGATTCAAGACTTTATTCTATTCAATTAGTTTATCTATTCATGTGCCAATTGACACATGGTATATTTGTATTTGATAAATAATACATTTTGTTTTAACAAACCCAGCACTTCTTCATTGCTGTTTTTCATATTTTTGCCTCTTTTTGCCTATTTATATTTCAAAATTCAATTTAGAATAAAATAATTTTAATTTTTAAAAACTTTATTTGACAGATAGACAGTGAGAGAGAGAGAGAGAGAAAGATCTTCCTTCTGTTGGTTCACCCCCACCAAATGGCCACCATGGCCAGAGCTATGCTGATCCGAAGCCAGGAGCCAGGTGCTTCCTCCTGGTTTCTCAAGTGGGTGTAGGGGCCCAAGCACTTGGCCTATCCTCCACTGCCTTCCTGGACCACAGCAGAGAGCTGGACTGGGAGAGGAGCAGCCAAGACTAGAACCCGGCGCCCCTATGGGATGCCGGTGCTGCAGGTGGAGGATTAACAAAGTAAGCCAAGGCGCTGGCCCCAATAAGTTTTAATTTAAATGGAAATAAAGTCATTTAAATTATGATGAGTTTAAAATTAAGCTAAAAGGGAGATATAGAGCGAGAGAGTGTGAGAGCGAGAGAATCATTCATCTGTTGATTCACTCCCCGGATGGCTGCAATGACCAGCACTGGGCCAGGCCAAAGCCAGGAACCAGAAGCTTCATCTAGGTCTTCCATAAGAGAGGCAGGGGTCCAAGAACCTGAGAGATTTTCTGTTGCTTTTTTTCAGGTCATTATCAAGGAGCTGGATTGGAAGTGAAGCAACAGGGGCATGAGCTGGTGCCCATACTTGATGCCAACATCACGGGTGGCAGCATCACCTGCTATGCCACAATACAGCTCCTCAATGTATTTTTTTAACCTAAGCAAATAAATTGACTTTCTGGGTTACTGTCATTGAAACCTTACATGAAAATTCTCATGTATATTAGCAGAAAACATTAAGTATTCTGTGAACTTAGCTAAGAGGGACACAGGGATTATACATATGTGTGTATTAGCTCTCTATCTAGGAGTCATAATCGAAACCAGAGTAACTCATAATATCAAATAGTTATTAAAAAGTAAAGATGCATTTGTGCATTTAAACCATTTATCAGTAAGAGAAGCACAGTATATATGTATGTTCTGTATGTTAGTAGTAATAGACACTTATATTCCATTTGAAGTTGTTAGATTGAGGTCATTTATTAGGTAAGCTGAAACCTGTCAACTTTTATTGAAGGCCATCATATAAATATTTTAGCTGGTTAATACAGGTATTTATAAGTCTCTTTTTTATTTTTTTAATTTATTTTAAGGAATACAAAATTTGTAAGTACAATTAGGAAGATAATTATTCTTCCTACCATATAAGCCCTCCCACCCACACTTCCACCCATCCTCCTCCGCCCTCTTCTCTTGCCAATACAATTCTCCATTAATATTCATTTTCAATTAACTTTGGACATAGAAGACCAACTCTATACTAAGTAAGGATTTCAACATTTGGCATAGACACACACACACACACACACAAGCTGTTTGAGAACTGGTTTTACAGTTAACTCTCAATATGACTCATTGAGGACAAAGGTCCTGCATGGGGTGTTAGTGCACAGTGACTCTTGTTAATTCAACAATTAACACTCTTATGTATGACATCAGTGACCACCCAAGCCTCTTGACATGAGCTGTGTAGGATATGGAAACCTTTTGAGTCTATAAACTCCGTCAGTATTTGGACAAGGCCGTAAACAAAGTGGAAGTTCTCTCTTCCCTTCAGAGAAAAGCACATCCTTCTTTGATGGCCATTTCTTTCCATGGGGTCTCACTCATAGAGATCCTTCACATGGAACATTTTTTGCCACAATGTCATGGCTTTCCATGCCTGAAATGCTCTTACAGGCCAGACCAGGAAGCCTTAGGGGTTGATTCTGAGGTCAGAGCGTTACTTAAAGCTATTGTTATTCTATGAGTCTGCTGTGTGGACTGCTTCCCACGTTGGACATCATTCCTTCTTAATTCTATCTA